TCCAGTGCATTGTAAAACATCAAGTGTTAATGCTTGATTGGCATTTCTTTAAATTCAGGAAAGACTTCAGACTTCAAGACCCTCATCTACCTTTTACATGCCTCACAGCTTCATGTGCTGCTACTGCATTATCGGAGCATGTCCTCTTTCAGAGAACAGTATAGTTTTTGAACCACTAGATGTCTCTGTTGAATAACTCATATTACCTGATTTCTCCATCCGATTTTAGTATTGTGAGGGCAGTTTGCTAACAGTAGTTTTTTTGCTGAAGTAGTCTCCGGGTTGAGTTAGTCAGTGTCTTTCAGTATTATTAATTGGATGCCTGCATAATCTTTTGTCTTCAGGACAGAAAAAAAGGCTCAGGCTTTAAAATGTGGGAAGAGTTTTAACCAGACCCAACGGTGTGTGTAATACTGTGTTTTGTGTTTAAGAAAAAGCTTTGCTTTGTGTTTATTACTTTTACTTTGTAGGTTTGTCAACATTGTAACAGCCCTTAAAATTTCAGCCTCAAGGCGTTTGCTTGAGGTCTGAGTAAAACAGCAAATAAAGAGATTACTCTAGTTGTACAGTCATGACCTTTGTTGCTTTGCAATCAATCCATGAACTGCCCATTAGAGAAAATATAACTTCAGAGATTATTGAAGAATAAGAGAGAGGCATTTAAAGATGAGAACATTCTTTATTTCAGTTATAAACACTGATTCTCCTAGGAAAAGTTTTAAATTATTCCACTTAATTTACTAATGATCTATTATTTAACTTATTTATCCTTTTTCTATAGCTTTAAAGAGGCTTACTGGATTCCAGAAACCAGTCTCAGGATTTGTTATAAATAGATTATAAAGAAATGTTACAAATAATATTGCTGCTTTTTTAATATAAAATAGCAGTTTTAATCACTGATATTTTAGCTATTGCTTAATATTCTAGATGACCTGAAGTTACTAAAAGTGAGGCTCAGGTAGGATTGACATATTTCCCAGTAGGCCTACGGTACATCAAACACAGTACCTCCAGATCTTAGTGCAAATCAATAATCGGGCTGTTGATATTTCTGCTAAAAAGTCAAATGTTAGACTTTAACTGGTGCCACACTAAACTAGCAAACACATGGACAGTTTCAGGTAAAAGGAAAATAGAAATGACAGGGTTGCTGTTGTGCAATTCTGTGATTGTTGACCTTATTCCTGAAATCTGTTTGATACTCTGTGACTTGACATTATTTTAAATTAAATCTTTCCTTAAAAATCTATTTTTTTTTGTACTCTGGCTTTTGATATGTAGCTTTATTTTTATTTTGGTTTATTGATTGTTTTTTTTTAACTTGTTATTTTTTTAAGAGTGCATTATTGTTCATGGCGTGAGTCATGAAAACCTAAGTCAAATGTTTTAAATAAGATGAAAAATAATAAATCTGTTATTACTACAGTGGATGTGTTGCAGTTATAAGCCATTATTTTATTTTTTGTAGCAGTTCTCAAAATAAAACTACAGAATAACATGATGAAACCCAAGTGTGTTGTAACAGAATCCTTGATGTGAAAAACGCACAAATGCCTATTCCAAATTGACCGTCTAATAAAATAATAATTGGAGATTGTAAATAAAAGCTATATAATAATAATTGCTTACACTTATATAATGCTTTTCTGGACACTCCACTCAAAGCACTTTACAGGTAATGGGGTTCCCCTCCACCACCACCAATGTGCAGTATTAAATAGCTTAAATGTTGCCGATACAACATTTATTACATGTAATAAGTAATATTTTTGCAGTTACCGTGTATTGAGATGAATGTGCATTTGCATTGACTAAAACCAAGTGTTACACCTGCTCACCTGCTTCATGACCCTTAGCGCTGTGCTCGCTGCCTCTTATTCCCTTACATTGTGTTTTGTTCTCCTCCGCCTTAATCTGCTGCTTTCCTTCTCTCCCTCACACCCGAAACGTTGTTTCTTTTCTTTTCCTTTTCGCACGTGATGAACATTTACCTGTTCCTTTGCAGCTTATGCATGCTGACGCAGCTCCCTACTTATATGTCTTAATATTTTCTGTAAATCTGAGGGGTAGAAATTTACATTAAACTTCTAAATGCGAGTAATAGGGACCTTTTTTTATACATTATCAGATTATAAAAGCGGGCGGTATTTAATTACCTACACTACCAACCTTGTCTCGAGTAAGAATGTAAAATGAAAACACACTCGTTTAGTCTCAGTCTTTGAGATGCAAGAATGCAGTCTTGCCAAAATGTCTCAGAGTAGCTCATGCTGACTTGTTTCAATCAGGGCTTGCCCCCAGAGACAGTTCGCTACGATTTGTGTTGTTCTTTTTAACCTTCGTGACTCTCAGGCTTTTGTGGTGATCAAGGGTGAGAAGTTCACCTGAAAAGGTGTTCATATGAAGGCTGAACCACAGTGGTTTAAAGGTTTTTTGCAAATGATGAATTAGAATGGGTAAACTTCATAACAATGCCATTGGTTGAAAGATATATACGTAATATAAATTCCCCCACTATACTTGTTCTTCTGAGTGGTAATGTAGGCCTTTGTGTCTAGATGTTTTACTGAAAGTATCCAGCTATTTTGTCTGTGTGTTCATGGTCATATCATTTAGGTCATGTTTCTCTGCACCTGCTTAGAGGAACTAATCATTTTCTTAGCTAAATTAAAGTGGATTTGTTATTGAGAATTTCCCTTTCTGTCATTCTTAAAGAAGGCAATATCTCGGCTTCACTCTTGGCTGTTGTGTGTGATGCATGGAAAATGACTGCCTTTCTCCAAGCCTGAAAGACACGCACCTGAAGCAAACAGAGGGGGAAAAACATTGTGGCTCCTTAATGGTTTCTAGATGGATTCAGAAATCATTCTGTAAGTGTAAAAAGACCTTTAGTAATAACTCAGCAGAGCCCTAAGCAATATCCAGTTTTGAAAGGTCTTACTTAGGAGCTGAATTGATTTGGCATCCCACAAGATCCCTATATAAATCACAACAGAATTGCCACAGGTTTTGCTTTAAAATGGAAGGGTGGTGTAGTGGTGATGTTAAAAAGAATGCTTACATTTTCAGAGTTAACATTGTATACTGAAGATAACAAATAATTAGGCTCCTACCTCAATCAAAGGTCTAATGCGCCAGTGAGGCCACACAAAATTTCAATCAAGGTGCTTTTTAAAAACGGTTTTGAACATTTCCCAATGTCAGGCAAAGGGCATGGGCTTTCAGAGCAGTTTGTGCAGAGGTCTCTTTTGAAAACAAACACCCTGTTAAAGACCAGAGGGCACTTCTTTGTATTGATCACTGTATTTTTCTCTGGGAAAAAAGATTGGTTTGCTTTGCCTGTCTGACGATGGTGGTGTTGAACCTAGTGTCAGGCCTTGGAGGATATGAGGATTTATTGCAGATTTTTTTTTTTTGCTGGTTTTGTTGTGTTCATCCATTATTTAATACACAGTGGATCAAAATTGTATGTATGTTAAACCCCAGGGTATTGCACCTTAATTCAGTCTCTCCCAGTAATCTTAGCTGTTTAGAAGTGTATCTTTATTGATTGATTTTACTTTCCTAAGACACATAATGTATTTGTTATGCATAGAGTGTAAAAGAGTAAAAGGGAACTAGAAAGTACATCTCCTAAAAAGTTTTCAATTTCAAATTTAAACCACCATGAATAAAACTAATTAATAATTTGTTTATATTTATTAGTTTGCACCAATATATATGTGCTGCATAGCACCTATAATTCTAGAAAAAGCTGAACATTTCTGTATTTTTTCATGCACCTCCTTGGTATACATATAGGATATCTATAGCTAAATAAAGACAGGAGCACATACAGTGTTTTGATGTATCTCTTGAAATCACAAAGCTGATTAAAATAGTTTAATAAAACTACTTCTGCATTTGTGCAGGGGGTGGGGTGTAGATTCACTGGTTAGCTGACCAGTTTACTGTTCTGTGTACTGTGACTTGTATACCTTTTTAAATTAATCAGGAAATTAAGTTTTGCATTAAAGTTTTGCGCTGCAAAAATAAATGTAATCTTAAACTGAAACGCCATTTTGTAACATAGAGCTAATCTTACACTAACAGGGAAGATTACAATATGCCTTTTCTAAAACCTTTTACCAGAGGAAGTACTAAACGATGTGTCAGCCATGTGTTCAAGACATTTAGGGAGACTGATATCTGAAAGCCAAGTGTCATAGACTGCGACTACGACTCCCTGATTTTCTTCTTTAGCACACACACTTTAACTATGCACTCTGCATTTGTGCTGATTTGCAAAGAGTGTAACAAAACACTCAACATTGACAGAGCTATCCGTCTTATATAATTTGACATTAGTTGCACAATGAATGCTTGTCTGCTTTGTAGGCCTTATTGATGTTTTGCATTTATATACAAAGCAAATGAAAATGTGCTTTAATGAGATTTATTAATGGAACCCTTGGGATAGGTTAGGGCTTTGTAATTTAGCTTTTGAAAATGTTATTGGCTTCACTTAAACCAGGTCTTGCATTGATCTGCGCTGCCGTATTTGTCAAAGGTTGTCCTTACTTTAACTCCTGCGGTCCTGTTTTTGTTGTTGTTGTTGTTGTTGTTGTTGCTATAGCGGCCTGTTTTTAAAATGCTCTTTTTCTGTTATTCTTCCGCAGATTCCAAAAAAGATCATCCCCAGCCGCAGCCTGGCGTGCTGTCCCGGGTCACGGGGGGCATCTTCAGCCTGACGAAGGGGGCGGTGGGGGCGACAGTTGGTGGGGTGGCCTGGATTGGGGGCAAAGGCCTGGAGGTGACCAAGACGGCCGTGACCTCGGTCAGCGCGGTGCCGGCCATGGGCGTGGGGTTCGTGAAGGGGGGCGTCTCGGCAGTGGCCGGAGGGGTGTCGGCGGTAGGGTCGGCCGTCGTCAGTAAAGTACCGCTCACGGGGAAGAAGAAAGACAAGTCTGATTAAAGACTATACTGCAGCAAGAAGTGCCTGGTTTTTTTTCCGGGCCTCTGGGGAGGCCAGAGTCTCTTTTTTTTTCCCCCCTTGAAGACGGCAGCAATCACGTTATAATGGCAGGAGAGATGCAAGAAAACAAAGCCATATGTTCCAAGACTCTTTAAACATACAGAGTGTGCTCAGCTAAATGAGCCATTTTGACTATTACCTCGCAGCAGGCCGTGAGATGCTGTATGCAGCTTTGGGATAATATTATGCTTTAAAGTGGAGAAGCTTTCTTTGTGAAGCATACGGTTCTTTGAGATAAAGTGAAACTCCTGTATTTGTTGGAATATTTGTCTCAAGACTACATCAAGATGAGGAAAAAGAACGTTTTACTGTCATCTGTACATTTGTAGGTGTTCGTGCTTTGGGCATTCCTATGAGTTTATACTATCAGATGAAACAAATGGCATTTCAGTGTTAGTGACTGATATATATTTAATGCTGTTTTCAGTCACTGAGTATCTATGCAAGGGTTGACATGCAAGTAGCTTTTAATAGGAAATGTAAAATGAAATAGTGTGCTCTGAACTAAAAGACCAGAATCTGGGGCATATGAGTTTCAAAACCAGCTCTGAAGCTGAATTCCTCTGTGAACCGATGTGCATTTTTCTTTTAGGTGAACTAAGCCATACGATTTAAAGAGAAATCTGTCTGACAGCTTACACCAAATACCATGGGAAATACGGCTAATTTCGGTACTATTTTCTTCAAATTATTTTGTTCTTGGGATTTATAACTCCGTGCTGTATAGTCGACGATGAATGGGTTTAGGTGCGTCTTTTCTTTTGACTAAAGGTCACAACTAGTTGTACTGAGGAGTAGGCAATAATTTCTTTCAGTGCTGAGGGCAGTAAGAGCCAAAGAAGAATCCGAAGCATTCATGTTGTTGATTTTTTTCATTAATTAGCATAGACTTTAGATGAAGTAGTAAAGTTCTTTTTCTAAGATTTTTTTTATATACCTTTGAAACTGTGATATCGGTGTAGACTGTAGCATCAGAATGCAGTTTGGGCACCAGAGGATTTACTAAATTGTTTTTTTCAAATGAATAATCCTAAACATTTTTCACCTAATAAAGGAATCTCATTCACTTTTGTTCGTTGGAGTTGGCTAAATCTAAGTACTGGCAAAAACAGGTGTTAGTTTTGTAGGACAGTTTGTCTTCTGATGATAAGACCTTTCTTGATGTGAGCAGAATCACATTTTTTATTTAATCTCTTTAGATACTACACAGTGTATCACAGCAGGGTTGTTGGGTCATCTCACAACATTCAGTAGTGCCTATGTCAATGTGCATGATGATTTACTGAATAATGCCATTATTAACCTTTTTGACCTGAAGTATAGTGGTGAAGTAAAACTTTTAAAAAGCTTAGCCTCTTTTAAAAGCTTAGGTGAAAACTGCTCTGGCAGAACAGAATAAAAGTATTTGTTATTGTTGAGTTTCATCGTCCTATTTGGATTCAAACAATAGATGTGAGCCACAGTTTACGTTGTGTACGACGCCTATTATTTTGTATAATTTTAGGTAGTGTATATTTTGTGTATGTTCAGCTCCTTTCCACATTTCAAAAAGAGCCTATTCCATTTTTAATAGTGGATTGGTGCGCCTTGAGTGATGATTACAGGTGTAGCATGTCACAACATTCAGTCCACTAAATGTTCACAGATGTCAATGGTTGTCTGCTGACATTAGTTTGCTACCCACGTGCAGAGCTGTGTAGTGAGCTCGGTTCTACTTCCAATGCAATGTTCCAGAACATCCCATATGTGCTCCACAGGGCTCATTTCTAAATTGACACCTTAGCCAGGTCTGCTGTTGTCTTCAACAACGCACCAGACATTCATCAGCAATCACGCTTGCTTTGAGGAAACACCCTGGTTAGCTACAACATTAACATAGTCAGGAACCATAGGAAATGTTATGTGTTGTGATATTCCCACTACTTTGAAGAAGATGGACCACTCCTATTACCAAGTTCCTATTTATATTCGAGTGCATGGATACATATATAGGTATGTATATACTGTATGTATACATGCACATTCTGTGGAATGCTGGATATGGTTAACATACCTGCATAATGTATTATTAGAGGCTGTAAAAAAATGGTTAACGTAGTTAACGTGGATGGTTAACTTTTTTTGTATAAGGTGTTACAGGCAGTAGGGCATAAAATAGTGCTGTATGCCTTGCCAGCCTGTGAAATCATTCTTTTTTGGCATTGAAATACGTAACATATTTTTGTTAGAATAATCAATAAAAGTGCCTTTTTGGTGTGATGCTCACAGAAGAATCGTGGATGAAAAAGCACAGAAATAGTTTATGCTTCGTCCTGTTACATCACATGTCCTTGTCAAACCAGCTATAATGTCGTGTAATTGATGTCTGAATTGTAATTTTAATGTACCATTTAGTTCAATAAACTGTGAAAGCTGGAACCCAAACCTATCCGAAGATTAATGTGAGTCTGTTATTTATTGTGTTACTGTGACATTTTTATTATTTAGAAAATGGTTATACTGTATTTAATTTTTTTCTCTATAAGTGTTATTTATTTTTAAAACTACTTGTAAGTAAATGCTTACATCTAAATTTTAGGTGTTGTAAAAATCAAGTGCAAGAGACAGAAGCTCCTATATTAGCATGTGATTGTGATGTAAATGGAATCGCAGAAACATGCTTTCAGTGAGCCAGTGGCAATTTGCATCATTAGCACATTGTTCCAGAAAGAGGAAAGACAGAAGAGAGCTGAGGTATTATACTTCAGTACATATTGAAAGCTGTTTTCAGGCTTAGGAATGAAGCCTGGAGGAATAAAGGCATTTCAATCTTTGTGGGTCCAAATTAAAAGAAAGTTTCAAATGGTAAAAAGTTAGGAGTGTGCGGATGTTACAAATACTTCAACACGGTGTGATAATTGTCATATAATGCAATATATGAAATTAAGTATGTGCAAAGAAAGAACTTGGTTTCAGCTTTGACTACATTGATATTCCCCACATTTATGTGAAACTGAAATGGTAGACATGGTCAATCATGGTTTGGTTAGAAGAACCTACTTGGAACTATTCTTCACTTCACTATTCACTCAATCAAAACGCAGGCGAGAAAACAAATTAACTTATCTATCAGGCTAAAAGCACTGTATCTTTTAAGTCTTGAACAAGAGAAGACTATGAGGGAACCTGGTCCAAGTTTTCAAAATCGTTGACAAAGTCGAAAGGCTGGACGTTTGCAGAATGAGCAGCAATCCACAAAGTGCAGGGCGCAAGTGGAGGTGACATAGATGGGCATTTCGAACATAGAACAGGAAGCCCTTCTCTGTGCAAAGGCTTGTGGGAGTCTGCAACAAGGTTCATCACTTTTCTGCCTTTTGGCTGATCAAGTACTAGGCTACTTGAGCACCTCTGTTTGTCAGAGGGCAGGGAAGATGAAGATAGTACTGGAATTGCAATGATATGATGTATGACCCAGGGTGTTTTTTGTTTTCAGAGGGCACCACGGGAAAGAGCATTTAAAACCAAGAACAGGAAGTGCTTCTTTAACCAAATTGTTGTGGAAATATGGAACAAGTCACCCAGCCGCGTTGTTGAAGTCAATACCCTGGCTTCCTTCTAGAGCAAGCTGGTTGAGATCAGCTACTAACTACAAAACCTGATAGCTGGATAGGCTGAATGGCCACCTCTTGTTTGTAACTTCCATCCATCCATTTTCTAACCACTTCATCCAAACCAGGGTCACAGGGGGGAACCAGAGCCTGTCCTGGCAAGCAGGGGGTGGAAGGTGGGGTACGCCTTGGATGGGACGCCAGTCCATCACAGGATAGACCGATACACACACACTCACTCCCACCAGATCCAGGTTTCGCAGAAGCCGGTTAACCAATCAGTAATGTTTTAGGCTGTGGGAGGAAAACGGAGCATCCATAGGAAACCCAAGCAAACACTGGGAGAACAGACAGACTCCACGCAGAGCATTCCAGGTGCAGATCATGAACCCAGTGCCACAATGCTGTGGGACAGCAATGCTAACCACTGCCCATCTGTGCTGCCACTGTGTGTAACTGATTTTTTTTCATACTGACAGATATTTCAACAGCCATTCTGCAACAAAGCAAGAGATTCAAGGATGAACACGATGCAGTTTCAAAGGAAGGCTTGATTTGATGTCTAATCGCACAATCAATGCACATCACATCAACAGCAGAATTTCAATTGTAGGACATACTGGTTTATAACATGATGTGAAGGCTCCTGTGTATTTCTTTAGGAAGACAGGAAAGAGGAAAGAGAGAGAAGTACAAATGGTTTTGAGCATATGCTGGGAGTTTAATATAGTTTAGGGGGTGCTCTAGCTCTCTAGCTATTGGAGGCTTAACTCTTCAGGTTTTTTGACACACTGATTGAAATCTGCCAGTTTCTGTAGCAAACCTATTATTCACTTGGCAGTCGCTTCAGCTTTATAAAACACTTAACCTGTCTAAAATGTCACTGGAGTCTCATGCATTTTGTGGTAGTGGCTCTTGATCAGTGGAGAATGTATACAGCATGGTCTTTGTTAATGTTGGAGTTGAAGTATTTCTGAATTTATTTCACTGTTCAAAGCACATGACAGAGCAAAACGCGGCTCATTGAAACAAGCCAGTTTTCTTGGAAAGACAGGTAATTTAGAATACATTATTTTTAAAATGTGTGGCAGGCATTGAAGGCGTTATAAAACAATACGGTGTATTTAATTTCAGTGGATTGGGGAAACAAACACCTAAGCTTATTAGGCAGTCAGCTTCGAATAAAGGAATTTTAGGTGCTGTCATGTTTAAATATCCTCCTGTAATAGTACAAAGGATCATAAAAAACATAAAATAACCGTGATTCTGCAGCTGGTTTAGGTCCTGTTTAAGCAGTATAGAAATGATAGCACTTAAGACAATTTTTTGCTTTATCGTGGATGATCTCCATGGGGAATGTATCACTGTAAAGAGAAACCACTGTCTAGACAGGTAATTGAGTTCTGCGCTGCAAGAGAATATTTTTTGCTACTTTAGATGGATTTGTCTAACTTTAAAAGAATATTTCACTAGATCTGGTATTGAACTACATGATTGTCAAAAGACATTTCTGAAGGTAAGTAATGGCAGGGAAAGAAATGCACTGCAGCAAAAGTATTTATCTGCATTATGTCTTCCTTAGTTACAACAAATATTTAGTTATATTTAATATATTTAATATTTGTAGTGTTTCATCAAAATGATATCTTCCTTGTAAAATGTGAACAGAAAAAATAATTACAGTGCGTAGCAGCCAAAGGGATAAAAATACGTTGAAAAGACTGATTTTCAGAGTCTGTCAACTGCTCTAAAGTCTGTTTTCTTTTTGTTTCTTAATAGTTTAGCTTATCTTTTGTGACAGAGAAGACAGCAGTAAAGGACTCGTGAAAGAATTGTTCAGGTTTCAGGATGTTGTGCTGTCAAACCTATTTAAAGCAATATTGTTATGTCTTCATAATAACAGACCTTCATTTTAAACAATAGTACTTTAAAAAATATTATTCTCATTAAAATGAATTTCATATGAAAGCTTAATTCAGAATTTTAAGTCTGTTCAGTTGTGTGCTGTGCCTTTTTTTTAGAAAAGCATAAGAACTAATGAATATAGCAGGCTGTAATAAGAAGAAATTCTTATGCTGCAATCATGTTCTTCAATGGACAAATTAAGGCAGCTTGAACTGACATATGTACAAACAAAACCCAACAGAAACTTTTGTCCAGGCAGAATGCGTCTTTGAACTTCTTTCAATTAATGGCAGGCCTTGCTAATCACTTTTCCTAAAAACAAAACATGAAACAAAAGTGCTTATTGGAATAATAGGGGATGCTATTAGCGTTCAGACAAGCGAAGGTTTTCCAAAGTGAAAGCTGCTGTTGATGCCTTCTATGTATATTGTTAACTTAGCCTGCTGCTATTTTCATGTGCTTAATTAGTAGCCTTATTCATCCTCCATTTTCAGCATACACACAGGCTCATCGGGGTTGGGTATTTAGAGACTCTGGCTAACCTGGACAGCGTGCCTTTAGAGTATGGCAAGAAACTGAAATACACAGTGAAGACCTACATGAACTCAAGAGAACACGCAGACTCTGCATGCAGACAGGAATATGGAATCATTCTCGGGACCCAAGGACTGTGAGAGGCTGAGGTGCTATTCGATGTATCTTCAGCAAGCAGGTTTAAATGTGATGTTTAAACATATTGTAACGCAACGGGGGCTCAGGCGGGCGCCCTTGCCGGATTAGGTTGGCCCTCCCACCGTTGGGGGCTCGCACCCAGGACTCCCACGTCTCTCTGCAGGGACCCAGCCTGGTGAGCTAAAGAGAGATCTCTCTACAGCCCGGTAGCTGTAGTCCTGCTATCACAGGGAAGGGTGGTGACGTCACCTGCTCTGGTACGCCGGCTCTTACACAGTGCCTGTTGGCCGTAAGCGTTACAAAATCATTTTTAAATTTTAAAACATTTTAAATTTTAAACATATCATTTTAAATTTTGTTCTGATCCTTGTATGTAATCAAAATGCTTTGCATTGTAGTTCAGTACAATGATGAAAAGAAAAAGCAGATCAGGTTCAAAGTCACTGGCCTTCATATTCTATGCATATTCAACAGTTATATTGCAATTTCAGGTTTTCATTAGAAATTACTTTTGGTTTCCCGTTTCTTGAATGTATTAAAAAAAGGTTTTCCAATGTGTTTATTGAGTATTGTCATTTTACAAAAGAAGAAACGTTTCCACAAATAAGTAGAACATTTTGTTTTACACATTTATGTTCTAGTGTCTAAAATGTGATTTTTCTGTGAAGAGTCTTCAGATAGAGTATGTATCTTTGTCTTTGGTTGAGTTCCTATATTATGCATTTTTTACTTGAGGGGAAGCATTGTAACCAGAACTTATGTGATTGATTCTATTTCTGACAATAAAATACCTAATTAACTAATTAGGAGGTTCAAAAGAAACGTCTTTGTTTACAACTTCTCTACAGGGATGTCTTTGCTAACAATTCTTTATTGTGTGACAAAAGCGGTAAAGAAAATGTTTCTTAATTTTCCAGGTGTTACCTCACATGAATAGGAATAACTAGGATAAACGAAGATGAAGGATCTGTTCGTCAGCCCTGCTGAGCTGTGTATCGATTCCTGAGCCTTGCTCTTTGAACATATGCAGTAATCTGAGAAACCCTTGAGGTCAGGCCCAGCCTGCAGTTTGTGAAGTCCCAGTAATCAATGCCTGACAGCATGTTGTTTCTCACGATAACCAGGCCTCTTATCTGCACCCTGGGATGTGGTCAACAGGTGTGAATGTTTTCCTGTGCACAGCTTGCAATCTTGTGGATATCTGTCATGTGACACCAGCAGGTTTATGTCTGCTTCCTACTGACTGAGAAAATGATTCTTTCATGTCCGT